TTGGATATGCAGCTTGTTAGAGATTCCAAGTCGTCAGTAGCGTGTGCAATTTCCAAGAGCAATCTCACTATGTCTGCCTTGAATAATTTGAATACGAGCTCACATGGTGATTGCAAATTATTTGGGGTTGATCTTTTGTTTCCCAATCAACATCCTGCTGTTCTCTCCAGCAATCTGCTAACCACTAAACCTGTGGATAATTCTGGAATGAAGTGCTCTAGTTATACCATTAAGGAGTTTACAGCTTGTGTTGAGCCCATTCATTTCGGTTCCATTATGGCTGGAAAATGTTGGTGCTCAAAACAGGCCATTTTCCCCAAAGGTACACTATATCTGTGAAAAATTCCAAGAAAACATGACCCTACTCTTTTTTTTGTTTTTTGCCTTAATGACTTATTTTTAATAACTCTCAATTGTTGACATTTTTGCAGGATATAAAAGTCGTGTTGATTTCTTCAGTGTGCTAAACCCTGGAAAGATTTGCAGCTATATATCAGAAGTTGTGGATGCAGGGCTACTTGGCCCTATTTTTAAGGTTTGTTTTCCCTCAACTTTTTGAAAGGAGAATTTTACCTTTGACACTTGTTCTTTACCTACTCTCAATCTGCTGTATGGGATAAATGATTGAAAATGCAGCATAGATGCACATGTTGGAAATTCTGCTGTCTATATCTACTAAATAATAAGTAGAGGATGTGTTTCGGATTTCCTGCGTAAGACAATGTTCTTTGATGAGCAGCTGAAAATTTTCTGTCAAAACGGCCCTTTCCTACTTTTGATGTATAAGAATACTTCTTGGTTGAAGCAAGAAAGTGGTTTTGCTTTTTCTCCAAGTGTTAGCCCATTTTTTTAGGATATCTCACTAAAGTCGCTCCAATTGGAAATCAAATGAATTACTCGAATAACATTGAAAGGAGATCTCTGTTGGACATCCCCAAGTGGAGCTTAAGGAACTTTTTTATAAGAAATGAAATTTGCAATTATTTGCTGACGAATCACATGTTTACTTAGATCAGTTGTACATTAGAAAATAAGCATCTTCTTAATACAAAGCTTTTGATATCATGGTCTAAGCATTTTTGCATTCTGTTTAGTTTAATGTCCATATTCTCATTCTTTTTCCGTAAATTTCAGGTCACCCTGGAAGAATGTCCTAGTGTAACCTTTGCTGATACTTCAGCAGAGAAGTGCTGGGAATTGGTAGTGCAACGCCTAAACCAAGAAATTCTTCAACAGAACAGCTTAGGGGTGCAAGGAGAGCTTCCTCCCTTTCACATGCAGAGTGTCAATGGCCTTGAAATGTTTGGGTTTCTTTCGCCAAATATCATCCAGGTGAGACAGTCTAAGAGGAATTTCAAACAATTCAGTTTTTCCTGTGGGAAGACATAAAAACTCCATAAGTGATTCACTTGAGATTTGGTATTTTGGGCTCTATCTGCCAATTAGGATTTTCTTTGACAGAACATGATGCTCGAACCATTATTATAAGACCACGTAGCTTGAGGATAAGCATTATGGTTGCACCAAGCAGCTGTCCTTCACGAGGCCTCTCTTATTTTTTGGCAGCAATAATTGAACATTTTTTTCCAGTCATACTTCTGAGGATGTTCATACTTTGCATTCATGGCTGTAATTTATGCGACTTTAGTTTGTGGTACTTAAATAGGCAAAGTTTAACTTGTGACAGCAGTAGCGTGAATTCTCTTCTAGTCATGTCATTAGTCATTGCTTTCTTAGGATATTGACTGCGCTTGGGATGCTCATTAATCAAGCAAAAAGTAATGTTTGCAGTTTCAAATGGATTGCATACCTCATGTTATTTGGAATCAATACTTTCAAAATCTAAATATTTCTTATCGAGGACTTTTGACCAATTCCTTGGGGACACTCGTTAACAATACTATTTTCTTATACAATATGTACTAACTATGCGATTTCTTTTATGTTAATATAATAATGAAAAAGAATGCAATGCTAAAGAGAGTCATAAGCATTTGAGTTCATATGGTTAAATGAATATGGACAATATTCACAGCACCTAATTTACTCATTGATGACATAACCCTGCATGGAGCCCTATTGACATGCTTATTTCTATCATAGTTAGAGCAACAACTTTTCCAAATTTTGGGCCGACATAACATTGATAGCTGGAAACACCTGTTTACATAGGCTTTTACTGCAAATCATGCTTCCTCTTCTTCCTGAAAAGGGAAAAAATCAGAAGTTTTTGATTAATTGAAAAAAGGTAAGTGCGAGATGAATGATGAAATACTTTTGTTCTGTACATATCTTTATGTTGCTTTTGCTAGAGGATGAAATGTAGACATTTAATTTGTGTAGTCTTCGAGTTTATTGTACTTGCTGGAAGGTCTCTCTAGTTTTAACAGGTCATGTTGAACATCTGTATTAAATGCAGAGAGATATTTGTGGAGAAACAATTGATAAAAAATTGTCCAATTTAAGACTAAGGGTTTTCATGAAGTGGAACTAATTTCCCGTAGATATTGGACTTGGTTGAGTCTCTCCATCATCTGCCCCTGCTTATATATCAAATAGGGAAAAAGGTTTCCTATATTGGAGCGTTATCTAACACATGAAAAGAAAATAAAGCCTACAACCACCACCACATGTGCACCATACACTCAGCTTTACTGATCCGCCACCCACGTGTGAAGCACAAATAATGTGTAAGCTTCTTATAGAGTCTATCAGCCATGTTTCTTTAGATTTAACAGAAAGAGGATATGAGTTATGTGCACTATTTTGATAATGATTTCTAAATTTGTGATCATATTTTACTACCCTTCTCAGGCTATTGAGGCTCTGGACCCAGATCATCTATGTGGAGAATACTGGAATAACAAGTGCAACGAAACTGCATCTTTCGGCGACATTGGTCGGCGTCAATAAGTACAATTTTGGTTTAAGTTACAGTTGTAGTTGCCGAGATTTTCGGTTGTACATTGGTAAAACAGGAGCAGAGGAATTCAGCTGAAGAAGGTTTTTCTTCCTGTTGACAAAAAGGGATGACGGATCCTATAAAGGCTTGTTACGGGGAGGCCATCACAGAAGAACCGAAGTAGGGAATAAGATGTTTCGCAATAAGTGCTGATAGGAAGCGGCATTGACGACATTCATCTAGGAAATTTCAAGAGAGCGTGGAATAAATTACGGAAAAGTGGGACAAAAGGTAGGGTTCTAACCATTCTTTCTCATTAATGTTAGGCTTTGTTTTCACTCAGATGCTTATCTCTAGGCATATTCTTTTTAGTGGGCAGTAGGGAGAATAGGAGCACTCCGCACACGTGAGATGTGCACGGTTTTTCAGAGTGCCATTGCCTAGACTTGACTATTAATTTAGGATGTCAATTGACAAGCGTTTTTGTAGATCATTGAATCTGCGACATTCGAAAGATTATGGTATATTTTGCCTTCTGTGCATATTGCCCTCTTCCCCTACATTGTGTCTTCTGCCTAGCATGCAGACACTTTGCTTGTTTCCTGCTTAGACTTCCTTTGTTTCACGGTGTCAAGAAACGCAAGCTGAGCTTAATTTGAAGGAAGCTCCAAATATGGGACACCAATATAAAATCATTTTGATGGTGTCCACTGTACCTCCACAAGCACCTTTGACAGGATAACGTGTAAGGAAGATTTGTGTATCAGTGTCGTATTCGTGTCATGGGGAATTAACATGTCTGCTTACATCTGTATGACGATGATGTGTTTATCAACTTGTGGTAATTTTTCGAAACCCAATATAACCTGTAAAACATGTTGATGCAATAGGGTAAGTTAATGTTGAGGATTGGCTTTTATATATATGCATGTGTGTTGTGATGTGTACAAACACATGTTTGAAAGGGTACAAACATGTCATGTTAACATGAATAACTAGTTTAAATTACGAGCTAGCTATTTACCATTACAAGTTCAATCAGAGAAAATCAAGTATTGTGCATGCGTTGCTTGAACGGTTCATTCAGGAAGTGCCCATGCCAGATGTTGTTAGCTAAGCATTCCAAGGTCTGTCTCATCTGTCCGGCTCGCAGAAATACTTCTTGGCCAGGCAAAATGGTTTGTAAGGTCGTTAAGCTTCCTTATGCAATGTTGTTTCCATCAAAATGTCTGATAAATGCAACTGTCTTGCTCGTTACTGGGTATCGTGCTTTACAGAATCCTAGAAAACTAGAGCTGCACCGTCCAATTCTCTTACTCCGCCGGGGGGATTCACACGCCTTGGCCAGAGAATTATGACCAGTGGACTTGGGGCGGGCATGGGTTTCCTCTTGGTTGGCGAAAGGGTTAAAGGTTAAGACTAGTCGAGGTCGGCCATGGAGTTCTGTGCGAATCGAGAGAGATTGCAGAGAGAGGAGACAGCAACGCTGTCAACAAAGAGAAGGGAGAGAGAGAGGAGCTCGGACAACGGTGGAGGGGGGTTGATGACGGGCGAGGTTAGAGTTTGTGGCGTATTTTGGGGTCTCGGAGTGTTCCAAATGGAGGGTATTTGGTACTTTTGTAATCCCGTCGTCGATATGAAAATCAAAACGAAGTGAAAAGTAAGGTACATTTCTAGTTTTTTCCAAATTTTTCTTGGCAATTTTTTATACAACAAAATTGTATAGGTGTACCAGAGAAATGACTCTCTGATTCTTTAATGATCTTCAAGAGATTTTGATAAGTAAGTCCATTAAAAAGAAGAATTCAAAAGGCTTGCTAAACAAGAGAAGATGCTTGCCGACCGATGAGCCCACCGCAATGCCCCAAAATTCTTGGATACAACTTCAACTGGAAACGAATCCCTCACACAATCTTGAACCCTAGAAAACCAAGCCAAGAACGGACGTAAGAACCAACCGCCGTGAACTCAGCGCTGCATGCGGTGGGAGGCATGCGCCGGCCAACCATTTCCTCAAGCGGCAAGATCGCTGCCGCTGTTGGAGCATCACCCTTTGCGACTCACTTGAACTGAGTATGTATATAAGTTGCGATTGCTGATTAACATAGAGTTCTATAACTCGTTGGGTTTGACACACAGTAATATAACTCGTATGGCGCACTGCATGAGTTCCGAGTATTCACGTCACCAAGTACAAAAATTCACCCCTATGGAGTTGAAGAAGATAAAGGAACAAAAACAGAAAATGTAAACAAGAAATCCATATCCAGAAGAAACTATTCTTTTTGACCGAAGAAGATTTACTCTCTCCTCACCTTCTTGATTACAACCACGCCAACGAACTCAGGAAGAACACGGCATCTTTCCTTCTTGATCTCCCAACCCAGAAATCGAATTCTAATGGACTTCGTATGATCTCAGAATTTACAGAAAGAAAAGCACAGATCATATGTGTTTCCCCTGGCTCCAATGGCTCGACAAGAACTGAAAAGGAACAGCAAAAATCAATGGAGAAAATGACCTGGCGCGTAACCCTACAATCGTTTGCCCTTCAAGTCTGCAACGATGGAAGACCCATCAAAAAGAGACCCAGAAATTCCTCACAATCTTGAACCCAAGAGTACCAAGCCAAGAACGGACGTAACAACCGCCGCCATGCACTCAGTGCTGCATGTGGCGTGAGACATGCGCCGGCCGGCCATTTCCTCGACCGGCAAGAATGCCGCCGCAGTCGGAGCATCACCCGTCGTCCGCTGCGGTGGTGGCGGAGAAAGCCCGTGCGCAGCGCTGCCACCGCCGTAGACTGTGTAGTTGAGGACCCCGGCGACGCCATGCACGGCGAGGCCATCGGAGGAGAAGAGGTCGGGCTCAACGAGAGGGAGGCCGTCGAGGGTGAAGTTGGATGGAGACCCTGCTGTGACGAGGATGGAGTTGTTGGGCAGGAGGGTCGGCAGGCGAGAGCCCGTGCGGAAGAACTTGAGTTGCGAGAAGGGGAGGCGTTGAGGGACGACGTGGTAGAGGAGAGAGGGAGGGTCCTTGGGGAGCGCAGAGACGGCGGCATCATCGCCGGCGGGGACGAAGAGGGTGGCCGAGACGGGGAGGGTCGAGGGGTTGATGGCGGAGAGGACGGAGGCCCAGTTGCCGAAGTCGCCGGAGCCGAGCAAGGCATCGAGGATGTTGCTGACTTGCTGGAGACAGCAGGCGCCGTCCGCGGCGGGCAGTGCGGCGGGTACGGCGGCGGCGGGGACGGTTGGAGACGGCGGTGGAGAGGCTGACGTTGCGGTGGTGGTCAGGAGGACGCCGTAGAGAAAGAAGAGTTGGAAGGTGTTGGCCATGATCGAACGAAAGAGGGAGGGCGTGGGATTCTTGAAAATGTGGAACTGAAGTTGCGACCCAATAAGTTTTTGCGACTTCATGAAAGTAATCTTTGAGTTGTGTCACTCAGCTTTGTAGAGTAAGTTAATGATTATTTCCGAAAAGAAATTATTTAATAAATTTGATTAAAATCCTCTAAAATGAATGATATTTTTTCGCTATAAAGCTAGGAAAAATGACATAAATGATTCTTAAACTTTAGCTCAATATGTAATGTAGTCTCTGAACTTTTAATTAGTTTAACGTGATTTTTGAACTTTTTATACATTTTTAAGTTAGTCTCTAGACTATATAAAAATGTTCAGTGATGTCTTTTCATTAATTTAAATTCAAGGATAATATCGGATATTTTTTAATTTGAACATATATTAAAAGTCCATGGGTTATATTTATCAAATTAAAAATTTAGGAATCATATTACACATTAAATCAAAATTTAGGGATTATTTATGTCTTGCTCTCGTAAAGTTATACCCCTGAGATTACCCTGGAAAGATGGATGCATCCAAATTACAACCATATTTTATTTGTAGACCACCCAAATAGATTATCCTTCTTCTTTTTTTCTTACTCTTTCCTTTTCTCCGTTTTTACCGAACTGCCCCTCCTTCGTATTTTGAGGAGCACGACCCGCAAGTTGCAGACCAAGGCGCTAGCCACGGTCATCCGCCGTTCGCCGCCACGCCACCACAGCCCAGTAATCGTCGGCCACAGCACGGCATTCCCACACTTCGCCGGCCTACCCAGCCCCGTCGCAGCCCGTCTCCCACTCCGCTGCCATTGACCTCGGGTTTGAGGCTCGCAACCTCAAAGCGGAGGCCGCTAGCTTTAAGCGATCCAAGGCCACGACCTCGGCATCAGCCGCGGCCGGCGCTGGTGGTGGCACGCACAACCCTCTTAATTTAGAGAATCTCAAGAATATTTTAATTAATAACATATAAAGTACTCAAAAACAGTTTCTAAGATTTCACCATGTGGCTTTTCCAATAATTATAAATGAGACGATTGAAATTCTAAAGTTATATTTGCTTTTTGGTTCTTTTGTTATTTTTACTTTTGATGACATAATAAAAGGACTAAAATATTATTATTAAATCTGGCTTTTACCAATGCTATTCATCGTTTCTCCATGAAGCTTCATAAAATGCTAAAACTTGACGTTACAAGAGCGAGATGCGCAAGCAAGTTAAAAATATTTATGGAAAGTTAAAGGGAAAATTGCTGAAGATTATAATTTCATCTTTACTATACGATAAATTTCTAGTTAATTTATGCATTTCATTAGACAAAATGATATCTTCTTCTCTCGTCGCTCCTACCGAGTAAAAGCCAAACAATAATAGATCCAATGTTGTTTGAGCAAACGCAAAAGCACCATGAAATCATCGGTTTCTAATTATCACCTTCTCTCTTTCTCCATTTTGCGATGACGTAGCAAATGTGTACACGTGATTCGTGTTTGTAAGAAATTGACATTTGAAAGATTTAGCAACAGGAAAATGAATTTACCAGCGACTTAGTCAGATTATTATTTTTTTCGTGAATATTACAAATCGTAGGAATGATATGTACAAGGTAAATTACTACGGGCAAGGAAAATGTAAATGCCAAGGGAAAGTTACGATCAATTAGGCGAGAATCGGTCCACTTTTCTTTTACGGGACTGTAGAGAGACACCGCATTCACAAAGTTTCAGCAACTGTAAATTATACAAGAACTTGTGCAGCGATCATTTCATTTGACTATTGATTTGACCGGATGTACAAGTTTCCTAGTTCAACCCAATTTTCTGTCATGGTCATAGCCTAAACAGTTGCTCAGAAAAACAGCACAACCCCTGGAAATTTACACGGCTTTACATAAAATCACATTTCAGAAGCAAGGATTCATAAGGAAGGAAATATTCCGACATTGCTCGGGCCAGAGAGCTGCCGATAGCCGTAGCCACTAGAAAACAACGCAGAAAGCAAAGATCTTCGCGGCATAAGACGTGGCAGCTGAATGCCTTTCCAATCAGAGTTTAAGCAAATAAAACAGATGACCCCATCACCACCATCGAAAGCAGAAAAGGAGAAATTAAGTCAGGTCATTTTCATCAAGCGGCTCTTCCTGTTCCTTGGAGGCATCGTTCTCAAGGGCAGTGACATCCCCTGTCGGTAATTTCCTCGCAAGCCTGATTATCTGTGGCAAGTAAAATCTCATCAAACCCATCCTAGGGCAAGCACGTTCATAAGATTTCGGGCTTAGTTAAAGTCTCCTGCTCAGTTGCAATTTTAAGGGATAACCATTACGAGATGACAATCGATATATGAAAATCAAAGGATGTTTACATCAATAAACTGATCACGGATCTTCAAATATAGGGTGCTTCTTCTATTTACTAGAGTCTCAATAAGTAAACCCTAAAACTGCTACTGAAGAGTCTGTTTATTTGAATAATTTGTTCATTACATGATAAACAAAATTAACTCTTCTTAAAGACAAAACTAACACGAAGTACTTCAAACAGTTTGCAATTTTAAAAATTGAATAGTGAAGAATTCATATTAATTTTGATACACTACCAATGAATTTGCAGTTAAAAGAATTCAAATTTGGAAACAACTTTTGAAGTTGACCAACGTTAAATTTATCATGTACCATATGAAGTTGAGCTTGCTGGAACATTGACAACTGTGGGTCTCCCATCAAATTTTCCTTATTAAACGGGATTAACCTATTCATCGTATTGTCTGATTGAAGTGGCCCATTCCCGTTCAGATTAATGACCACCATATTGTCTGCATCAAGGCCTCACAACAAATGTAGTGCTGGCTAGATTCCAGATGTTGTCTAAAAAAATGCTTTTACATAGGCTAGAAAATCTATTTAATGACTTTAGGCTTAGGATTTGTCTAAGCGAATTTGGTACCAAAAGGATGTCGTGCAAGTGCTAATGACTTGACCAGGCATAACCGAAACCTCAAAACTCCAAACCCTTCTAAATATTACGCAAACTAGTAGCCATAATATACCTAGGAGACTAGGTAATTTCTTCATCAAAACCTAGGTTTTAGGTTTCAATTGACATAGGGTTACCCCCAAAGAGATTTACAGCAACTCTAAACATGAAATTTAAGTTGAGAAACAATTTTCGTTGTGGGACGACAACCACCTTAGGATATGAGAGGAAATCTGTATCATTGCAAACACCATAAACATGATCCATATGAAGATTTCAGAAAACTAAGAAAATGCTACCAATTCCATGAGAACCATATGATCGTCTTCTTCCTTCTATGAGATAGGTTGTAGGCAATTATCTAAGAGAGTGTTTTCCCACAAGCACCACACTTTTCTTTTTAGTGGGATGTTAAAAAACAAGCCATGAATTCAAGAAAAATATCAGACATCACGATAGCTACACAACCAGACCACACCATGTCAACTCCATGAGAACCATCTGATCTTCTGTTTTTCCCTTATATGAAGGCAATTATAATAAGACTTTTCCAATAAGCGCCTCACTTATTTTTTAGTGGGGTCTTCCAGAACTAGTGACGAAATGAAGACACCATAAAATGACTATAAATAATTCTTCAAATCAATGCAAGAAATTTGTCAACCGACTTTCTGGTCAATTTTTTTTTTGGTCGAAACTTTCTGGTCTATTCAAAGTATGCAAAACATAACTACTTACCACATGATCAAGATGCGTAATGGTGCTGGACTGAGCTACATGTTTAATTTCTTCTACGTCACCTTCAGCATATGCAGAGAGAAACTTAGTGGCACAGCGATTCTGGTCACTTCTCAAAAATGCATCGATCCTGCAACACATGGAAAACATAGTTCACAATCAAATTACCCAATATTATCACATAAATTATCCAAGTGAGACAATCTTTTCTTTTCCACTTGAATAGAAATGCATACCATTTTGCAGAATTGTGAGCCATTTACACAATTACACTAATTACTCATTATTTTGTATAAACCATCAGACCTCTTCTACTTGACATTTGAAACCGAAATGCATAGACTATATGTCAACATTTCAGAAAAAGCTCAACCATCTATTCAAGTCCACTGCTCCATTTTCGGTTGATTAACTCAGATGGAAAGGGTTCAATTTATACCTGAGCTCTGTGCCCATATCCAAGCATATTTATGGTTTCACTTTTAGTATTGAGAAAATACTAAAATTAGCACCATTTTCCAATTAAAAAGTTTATAAACTCTCCAGATCAGTGCATTTACAAGACTCTAAAACAAAAGATAAAAAGAAGAATATGTGCACAAGAATCAGGATTGATTTTATCGCTGGAAAAAAACCAGTTCTTGAAGGACTACAAGATGGTTGATGGGACTGACATCCACATCTACACAAACTAAACAGAACTTAAGCCGATTTTTAAGGCAATATCAACCAGATTGACGCCGGCCAAGGAAGCAATAACAATATATCACAATTATACCTCATGGGTATACTGCATAAAACATAACAGAATGGTATCATGCACGGCATTGAACTGCAAAAGCCCTTGGACATATTCACCGAAGTGAGTCCCCCTCACCCCCCGGCCCTCCCCCCCCCTCTCTCACCCAGCACTTATTTTATATTTCTGGCATGAAGGCATGAAATCCCCAATGACGCCACCTGAATGTCCCACTTGCAAAGTGAAAAATGTAAATTACACTCAAGCAGGGGAAAATAGTGCAGTGAACTCACTGTGAGCAGTCATTATAGCACTTTTCCGCTTGGGTAGTGTCATGGAGATAGAGGTAGACAATGATTGCGCTAAGATATGCCTGAATTGAAAACCAGAGGCAGAATGAGCTCGAAAAACAATACATAAGAAATAACTGAAGACAAAAAGGCCGTTCCCGTGCCAGAAAATAAACTAAAAGAAAAATGTTGGCATATCATCAGTAAAGTTGCTTCACAAACATCTAGAAGGCGGTAAAGAAAAAGCTTCAAGTAAAGCATTCTTAAAGCAAACAAGCACAATGGGAAGACAATGCTTATCATCAGGTTCACGGCGCACTTTATTCTGAGATGACAGTAGGATATTTTTTAACATCCATAACCGAGGTATTTCCTGATTACGGAAACTTCTACAGAGACTTTTCTGAATGTCCCGTCATGAATACTGGACAAGGAAGTGCATTAGGATCATTCCTCCATGAGTAATAAAATGGATGCAGTCTCATCAGATGAGGATGTGAATTATGTACATGCTCCCAAAAGAAGTAAATAGAGATGCACTCACATCAAAGACGATATCCCACTCCTACTTCAGAAAGGACAATACCAACCACCTCAAAAGAGACCAATCACAAATCAAATAACTTTATTATCTATGATATTTGAACTTGGATATAAACATCTGGCACAGAATGTCTTGGTATCTTGTATATGTATCATAATACGGGATGGATGGACTTGTCATATATTATAAAACTTCAATACTGGAACATTATAATATAGAAATATCAGATAAGAAAAAAGTTTCCCTCTTAGAATGCATCATATGATCAAGCTTTAATGATCACGTGAATGCTCATTTCCTATCTTTCTAATATTTTATAGCTTTCTTCAGATTCTTCTTCCCCACTTAGTGAGATAGGTTTAGTATGTTGTTGTTGTCATTTCTATGAGATTCTTATTATTATGGTTTCCCATAATAATTATGCAATCAGACATTAATGCTGCATGATCGATGTCGAGCAACGAATCCCCATACCAATGCCCACAACCAAATCATGTTCTGTTGACCATGAAGTGACCACAACATAAGAGTTACAGTGACAGTTTCGCACTGTTTCATTTAGCCAAATTACAATTGTCCCCCCAACACAGCATGCATGATATTAAGTTAGAGGAGTTTCCTTGGTGATGAATTTGTCTAATTCACAGTTGAAATATTTCGCTAGTAATTAAAAAGGTGATCATAAGCACTGTAAAGAAGATAAAAGATCACTCCAACTGCAGAATTTATAACCAAATGTCAGTCACAAGACCTCTCCTGCCATTTGTCCAGATGATGAATAGGCAACCTCGGAACTTAGTTCCAAAAGATTACTGTTGTAAATATTAAAACCATGCCACACTAGAAGAGCGCCGTGAAGACGTAATGAACACAATGCAATTTTTCGATATGAATGACTAATTTTCATGACATTGAACAATTAATTTATGTGTCCTGAATATAGCTTATAGTTTAAAATTTCCGCCAAAAATCTCATAAAAGAATTTTTATTCAAACAATTTGTGCAGAAAAATCGCTTCCGGGCAGCAATTGTAAAAAGGAATTTTCTCAGAATATCATATCAGGAGATTTAAGTATGATGTCAAAAATCAAAAAACATTTTGCTAGACCTACACCTTGCACTGGCTGTGGGTGGCATTGCACTTGTCTGCTGCAAGGCCCCATCTTAACAAAGTTGCTGCAGCATCCGTAAACCTAAGACAGATTATGTAATGAGTTCACCATATGTGTTTTTGACATATACCAACATCGAAGGAGTCATATAACAGGATAATACAGTACAACATGTCAATTTCTTCTGTGAAAATCCAGAAAAAGCCATCTGTGGACATTATCCTTATTTGGCGTTGGCAGATCAAATCAAGGAGTATTTTCTATTTCAAACTTGTTCCAGAATACAGCAAGATCGAAAGCTAATGACAATGTTTCTTTAACATTTTCTTAATTTATATGACTAGATAATGCCTGAAACAGTTTCCCCCAAACAGAAGCAGTGAAAAATGCGTAGATTTTAGACCTACAAAAATATGAAACTTCTAACAAAATTTTCAAACATGAAAGTTGGATGTGTGATGTGACATTTCAAGTTTATATCATGCCCTCATTTTGGCTTAATACCAAATCAACTGCCCCCTAAATCAAATTACTGCACAAATTTAATACCTTAAAACTCACAGATGTTTGCTATAAGATTTCATCAGACATAAATAAGAATCTTCATAAGGACATCAACCATGTTTTTTAGGTAAAAGACAAGGTCTTTACTTTTCAAGCTTAATATAAACACTTGTGGCAGCACGGTACAAATCAAATGCCATCTGTTCCTTGCCATCTTCCTCAAGAATAGCACAAGCATCTGTGTACAGCTTGATAGCCTCTTCTGGGACAACCTCTTCAAGAACACTGTCAAGGACATAAATGTTTCACGATTTTAGCGTACTATATAGGGAATAGAGTACTCAAAGGAAGTGGTATTAAGAAGAAGGACAAGCGGCCCAAGCTGTGAAGGGATGCTACCCCTGCGAAATATTGAGCCAGCGAGTATTAATTTGAAAGGAAAGATGGCACAAAGATACGTTTGATCTTAAGTCATCTCGAATTAGCCAACCAGACAATAAGTCAGAATACTTTAATCTAAGCAATTAGGTTAAGCATGTACCAGGAAAGATCATAATAATATAGTTCATTCAAAAGATACATTCACAGCATCAGCAGAGAGCCTATGGGGAAGAGGGAAATGGAGCATCAAACTACACAGCATTTAAAATTATAATCCATATCTTGCTTTAACCAAAACTTCCCACTCTGCGCTGAGACATATGACTGCTGATTTACATAATTGTCAAATTGGATATCCAATAAGACATCCAGATACGGTTTTCAAAAACATCCTGCACAGTTCACTACGAGAATGCTAAAACTTGAGCAACACAATAACAAGTGCACAGGAACATACTAATTGAAAAGAACTAGAATATTTTCAAAATACAAAGATAATCCCAAGATTACCGAGCCCCTTTTGTCAGAGCATCTGATGCAGGCTGTGATCTCCCGCACTCAATGTACAATTCGGATGCTCTTCTGTAGAAATCCGTAACCTCACTCCAATTTCTCAATTCCTTAGCTACAGAAGCGGCAGACTCCATGTGTTTAGCCGCATCCCAGGGCCTATTTCCCCGTCAAGGATACAAAGAAAAGAAAAGCATACGGAAACAGAACATGAACAAACAGACAAAAGGATACGAGGAGAGCATCTCCTGGCCTTTCGAAGCTTTTTCAAATGCCTCCTTTGCTTTTTCGTAATTTTTAGCAAGCCTATACCCAATAGCTTGAACAGCAGATATATTAGTCGCCAGTTTCTATGAAGAAGCAGTCCCAACATTTCATTTCCTCAGATCAATCAAATAATGATCTCTAGTTAGTTGAACTAAGTTGCAGCACAAAATTTCAACCTACCAGCCTGCTCATACAGTGCAGTTGCGCTCCTCCAATCGGCACTCCACCTCGTAAGGCTCAATTTTGTCCTAAAAAAAACAAATGCAAGAGAATAAATCGAATGGAAATAGCATACGATAAACTTCGACATGGAAAAAGAAATTCATCGGTTCCAAGTGAATTAAAACAACCATTAGCCTCGGCGCCAAGAAAAAATAGCAATTTTTAAGGCATTTCCAACATGGGCATCCCCACATTTACCATCCCTAGATGAATACAGCATTCATGAGAAACTCAAATGTAAAACCCACAGTAAGATTCTTCCCTATCAGTTACATAAAACACAGAAAATTCACACGGCATCCAAGTTAAAATCCAAAACATCTCGAAACAACACCGCAAGAGATGCGAAAAGTAAAATCGAATCGCACTCTCCACTAACCCACCCAAATTGCTCAACCCCAATCTAGCTTTCCAGCAATGACATCTCGCGAAGAAGTTTCGGAGTTGCAAGAGCGAGAGATTCGCGAGGCGAACAACATGCGAGAATCGCATGCCGCAATCCGCATCGGAAGAAACGACGGAACAACGCACGGATTCTCTCGGTAATGATCGAAACCGATTGTCCTCGATCCAATCGAAGGCATTTACAGGTCTTGGAAGGATGCGCAAGTTAGAGCGAGAGCGAGAGAGAGAGAGTACTGCTTGTCGGCCTTAAGCATGAGTTTATCGGGATCGGAAGAAGCCATGGTGGTCGGTGCTCCGTGTTTCTTCTGCTGATTCCACCGCTCGCCGAGGGAGGCCGACGGCGGCGCGTGATCTCCACTCGCCCGTCTTCAGCGAGGCACGATGCTGCGCCGGAGTTCTGCTGTTCGAGTACGTCTTCTCTCGAATGGAACGGGGGGAATCGGTTGAGTGGGAGCTGCGTTGGGTCGATCTGTGTGGTGTACCTAATTGCTGCTTGTTTCGGCTAAATTGTTAAAACTGAAAAACAAACAGCAAACGGAGAACACATTTCACCAAAAGTTAATAAATTATAGCATAAGAGCGCTAGAAATTCTAAAACTTATCGTGAATATACAATCGAATCCTAAAACTTTCAAAAAGTAATCAAGTCCTAAAACTTGTCAAATTGATGAAATTAAGTCATTCGGTTAACTCCGTCAATTTATTAAATAGAAAATGCTGACGTGGAATTTTTAAACTACTTTCTCTTTCCTACGTGGCATTTTTATTATTTTTTCTTCAAATCTGATTTTAATTAGATTAAAAAAATTAATAAAAAAGCTAAAATTTTATTTAAAAAACAAAACTAAAAAAATGGCATGGCAGGGCAGGGCAAGGCAGGGCCTCGCCAGTGGGCGCGGCCACCATCGCCCCGCCTATTGCCGAAGGGGTCGGTGGAGGTCACCGGCCCTAGGCAAGGCTGGCCAGCCCTCGCTAGCCCTAGGCGAGGCCTCACCGGCCACAGGTGTGGGCACCCGTATGTGGGCAACGCCAGCTCTCCCCTGGGTCCGGCGACCATAGGCCGCCCTAGCCTGGGGCTAGCAAGGCCTCACGTGGGGCAGACGAAGGCTGTCGTCACCCAGATCTAGGCGCCCTCGACCCAGTTTCTAGGCGTCCTCGTCACCCAGATCAGGCGAGGCCCGATGACCATCACCCGCTGCGACGCCTCACCCAAGGTGGGCGATGGTCGTCGGCCCTAGGGGAGAGTCGGCGTTGTGCAAATCTGGGCGTTCTCGCCCGGGCCTAGTAAGGGTCGTCAGTCCTCGCTCGAGTCTAACGAGGCCTTGCCCGGGGCTGGCAAGGGTTGGCCAGCCTCGCCCAGGGCTTGCAACCTTCGCCAGCCCCTTTGGCAATGGGCGGCGGCGGCAGCACCCACCAACGAGGCCCTGCCCTACCATGTTTTTTTTTTGTTCGATTTTTTTTAATGTAAAATTTTAGCTTTTTTAAATTTTAAATATAATTAAAATAAGATTTACAGAAAATAATAATTTAAAAATGCTCGGTAGGAGAGAGAAAGTAATTTAAAAATGCCACCTTAACATTTTTAGTTAATATAAATCGACAATATTAACAGAAGGACTCAGTTGCACCAATTTAACTAGTTTTAGGACTTGATTACATTTTTTGAAAGTTTTAGGACTTAATTGCACTTTTGTGGCAAATTTTAGGACTTCTAGTGCACTTATCCCAAAAAATCTTAAACTATGTTATGTGTGACACAAATGTCCAAAAAAAATTTCTGTATTATTAAAAATCCTAAATTTATCCATTTTGACAATAATACCCTAAATATTTTTTGTATCATAAAAAACCCAGAACTTATACCAATGTGACAAATATGTTGTAGGTTTTTCATGACACAAAATAAAAGTTTGGGGTATATATGTAATAGTGGGCAAATTTAGAGTTTTTTGGTGGTACAAAAAAATATGTAAGGCATTTGTATCACGGTGGGCATAATTTGAGATTTTTTGTGGTATTTGCCCTCGACAAAGTGCCCTTTCATGTGTGCTTTTGCTTTTTAAGCAAAAGTAAAGACATTATCCGTCAAAAATTAAAATATTATTTATATTTCAAAAAAACAATGAGGAAAATATTTATCAAATTACGTGTTAATATTTACATATTGTGAATTATTCAAATATTTCACATTTTAAAAAAATCAATAGTTAATAGCACAAATTATTTTTTCAACCTACGAAATCCCCAAAGTGGTACTATTATACCAAGTTTACCCTCCATTAATATCCGGTCTAATTTCGTCGTCAATTGTCCCACGTGTAATCGGCTTGGCAATGACTGGCCAATGGACCCATTCTAATTCTACAAAAACCCATGATTTTGCCTCACCATAGCTAGGGGTGTGTAAAAAGGACTGCCCAAACCGAGAACTGCTTGGACCGAACCGAACCGGGCGATTGGGTCTGGTTCCCAAGAGTGTCCGTCTGGTTCTCGGTTCCCAAAAGTGGAACTGGTGTCCAGGCGGTCTGGTTTCCGATTCCTAGGGGAAACCGAACTGACTATATATACTTTTTTATTTTTTAATTTCTTCATAAAATTAGTAAAATATGAACTAAACCCTAAGTGAACTTCATTGACATAAATTCATTGACAAAAATTAATAAAATGTGAACTAAACTTTAAATGATCGATTCCGTTGAACCGAACTGGACCAGTCTTGTGGTCCGGTCTGGGTCCTGGTACTAAGACCAATCGGTTGGTCCCCGGTTCCCAATTTTATGAGTGGTCCGATCCAGTTCTAAGTCCTAGGACTAACTGGTTTGGTCCCCGGTTCCCAATTTTGAGAGCCAGTCCTCTCGGTTCGGTTCTCGCTCCCACCTTGGAATCATAGCAAACCAGAAACCAATCACCCCTAACCTTAGTCATGTTTGATATAATCACATTGTAACTCTTGTTTAAGTGAGTTAAAAACGGCGTCATTTCGACCAAAGAATGTCATTTCTGCGAAGGGCTCATGTAGTTCCAGTCGCTGCCACTTTCTTATTTGTCACGTTACACAACACATAGCATAGTTGCAGACGAAATTGGACAAAATGCTAACAAGGGTAAATTTAGGACACTAGTAGGTTTGAGTAAAAAATGTCCAAATGGTATCAGTGTATTCTAATGATATTAAACCAAAAAGAAAAAAAGTAATTTAGATTAAGCAAGAAATAAAAGTAAAAACCAATCTAAATAGGCTTTTTGGGCCGTAAGAGCTTAAGGCAGAATCAATGGATAGACAAATCACCTCTTTTTTAAGTCTCGGACTTAACTATTTGCGAATATGCAATCTAGTCACTAAACTATTGCAAATGTGCTATCCAATTCCTAAACTTTCACTGTATTCAATGTAGTCTATCAACTTTTCATAACAAAGTTAAATTGGTCCTTTTGTAAATTTCACAAATTTTCATAATTACATTGTTACTCGGATTATATAATATCTTTCATTTCAATCAAATTCCTAATCAACAAAAGTGTGCTATCTTTTTATTATTCTTTTAAAATTTTTTTAGTCTTTATAAATACAACAATCACCATTGAAGCATGTTTTAGCTTATGATCTCTAAAAGTTAAAGTATAACCTCATTTGGAGTTGTATATTTTAAGTCCAAGATTTCAAAAGGATTTCTAGAAACGATATTAATTTATCTAAAAAAAGCATACTTATATAAATTCAAATCTTGTTTCTAATTTTTTCGAAAAATAAAATTTTCAAACTTTTGTGCTTCATGTTTTGTTGATTATATTTAGTTAAATTTGTGTGTTTTCAAGCTTCATAGTTAAAGATCCAACGATAAAAAAAATTTGCCAAAACAAAACACACAAATTTAACCAGGCTTTTTCCACTCCCTTTTTTGGCTTGTATACTCTCTGAAATAGTGTTTTGACTATAACATCCCTTGTGGGTCCCACCTTTTTAGCACATTATACCCATTGATAATTATTAAAGTCAAGCATGGGCCATTTTGTATCTCACTTTATTCTTCTTCTTTTTTTCTTCTCTTTGTTCTCTCTGTTTTATGTTCGTCGTCTTCATCGAGCCTGTTTGGTTCAACTTTGAAAATGCTATTTGGGGGAATGTAAATACCTTTGGGTGAAAGCCCATTGGGGAAATGCAAATGGTGTTTGGTAAAAATATTTTGTAAAGCTACTTTGGCCAAAATATAGTGTTTGGTGAATTTTTTTTGCAAATGGACTTTGAGAATTATCTTATTTATAAAAAAAAAAATAACCTATCCATCGCCGAAGCTAGCCGCCGGCGAGATAGATCTGGCGCCGGCGGCCATCGCCCGAGGTCGGGCGACCTTCGGCGAGCCAGATTTGCCGCCGCCGGCGATCGCCCGAGGCCAGGCGACCCTCGGCGGGGGTCGCGCGACCCTCGGCGGGGTCGCGCGACCCAGGCAACAGCCGCCTGAGGTCGCGCGACCCAGGCGGCAGCTGTTGTCGGCTAAGTTCGTATACTCGAAATTAAAATCAAATGTTAGGAAAACTAACCTGAAAGCAGTACAACCAAATAAGCAGAATGTTGATCCGAGCCCAACGAAATAACGTCGTGTCCTTAAGACGAATTTGCCCCCTCAATCAGTACCCGAGGATATTGGACAATCGTCTCCCAGGATAGAACGGATCTCGTTCCTCCGAAGCGGTACGTATTCGGAGGACTCCTACGAACGCAATTTTGCAGAATAATCGCATAAAATGACAATGATGAAGTGAATATGCGTAGAGAATGTCTCGTGGGAATGCCGATGTCACGAAGTGTCACTGTATCGAACTAACTGTTCAGTCATATTAAAGTGGCGAAAATGAAGAGTTACAAGGGTTCGTGAACAGTAGCGAAGGTTCACTTGAACCGGTTCGGTTCGTGAACAGTCACGAAGGGCTTCGGTTTTCGTTCAGGCGAACCGAACCTCACGAACAGACATGTTTGTTTGTCCAAAAAATAAATAATTAATTAATTTCTAACAACGTGTCTGTTCGGAAAAAATAAAAATCGATAGAGAATGGACCCGGAACCGAACCGAGCCGAGCCGGCCGGCCGGACGGTGGCGGCGGGAACCGACCTAGCTTGGCGTAGATCCTCTCCCTTCCACAAAAGTGGGGTACCCCTTGGGGCCCAAACCCATTTGTGAGGCTCAACTATTTGAACCCATCTCCCATCTCTCTTCTATTCAATGTGGGACACTTTCATCTACACACTTCTCATTCAATTCTATGGGATTTGGATGCCAAAATCCCAACAATCCCCTACATGAATGAGAAGTTAAGATATTATGACTCTTTGTGTATGCATGAGATGCAATGTGCGATTATTCCATGAGAAAACGTTGCATCAGGATAAGTAGTCTGAGACTTTGAACTTTCCTTAGTGAAACCTATCGGACTTACTCGGTCAATCAGTAGACTTGATGTCTTTGAACTGTCGACCTTTGGTGTAAGCCTAGACAATA